ACAGGCTGCTAAGCCCTTCAGCACATCTGCTCCTCATCGCCAATTTCCTTGCTCTCAGCAGAACGGTCCTGTATCTCCATCAGCAGCTCACCAGCACCACGCACCACTCCTATGTTCCACAGAACAGGCTGCAAGTAATAGCTCCTCTGCACATGCAACCTGCAGCCAGTCAGGACCCACCACCCACACTAAAGGCACCCAAGACCTACATCCAGTATCCTGGATGCACTTTGTGGGTTTTTTTTTAAATTGCTTGTGGCTATCAGTAATGAAGTTTGAGTTAATCCCTGTTATGAAGATAGACACAGAAATTAACGCAAAAGGTGTCGAGACACTGTATTCAAGAAAAGCAGCAGCACGTAAGGAAATGAGTGTGTCCAAGCGTTTCAACTAACATCAACTCACATTCACAACCATCTGATCCCCATGTCTATGGCTTCTCTGGAGGTCCATGGGTATAACACTCCCCCACCTGCCTAAATTCAGCAAGACTGTGGACTCAGAAGTAGTTTGCTCTGGTCTATAGCATACTGGTATGTAACGCATCACAGTGCAGTCACAGGTACTGCTTGGACAGGAGCCTGGCTGGTACAAATTCTTGACCTGCAAAGAGAGGTTTCTCCTAACTCTACGTGGAGAACTTCAGCCTGGGTATGAAAACATCTCACCCAGCTGTGAGGAGGCAGCTGTCCCTGCAGCCAGCAGTGTGGATAAGATGGAGCATCCCAGTTCCTGGGGTGTTGGCTCCTCTTGCAACGTGAGGGGCCTTTGCTGGGTACACCAGGCAGCGACTGACACGGAATTCACTTCCCCAGCCAAGGTGGCAGAGCCCAGACAGCTGGCCTGTTTCATTTCTCTCTTGCATCATGTACCGAAGGCGTTCACAGCCCACTAGAACCATTCATAAAAAGTGAGAACTTTTCTTAAAACGCAGAATTCCAGGCCAAGGACACTTCTCTTCAGGCTCTCCTACCTTCACTCAGTTTTGTCTACAAATTAACGCACATACTATACCATTTTAATCTTCTTCCAGTACCATCCCACATATTTCCTGTGTTAGGTGCTGTCAGAACACTTTTGACTTCAGCACTGTCACATTACTCATGCTGCAGCAAGGAGGCTGTGGCAACATTTCTGCGTGGATCTGTCACAGATTCCTCAAAAGATAGCATCAGATCAACATTTCCCATTCCTCTGTAGACAATTCTGGTGCGGTCAAAGGAAACTCCCGATACACACTCTCAGCTATGCTCATTACTGGAGCCAAGCAACAACACGCTCACCCCACCTGAAGTGCTGCATTCTTCACTCATCTGAGGGAGAAACCTAGAGCTGCTGAACAGCTCTAACAGCAATGCAAAGAAATGAAAAATGATTATGGGAGAAGAGGAAAAAGGCTTATTTTGACCTTTAGCAATACCTTACATTGTTCATGTTGAACCTAAAATACTGCACACTTTAACCTAAGTGCACAAACTTCAAGGTTTGTGCAATGTCTACAAATTTGTCAGGGAAAAGGAGATGTTAACATTTTCCCCAACTACAAAAGCTGGCCCCAGGAATACCTGGCAATTTAGGCTCCAAAGATATGGGCCGAAGTAATAATACAACGAATAAGCAATTTACTCAAGGTCATTTGGTGTATCAGTAACAAAAATCCCTGAGCTAAGGTAGAAGAATCTCCTCTCCCTGACTGCCAGTTCAGCAAGTCTTAACCAGCACTGCGAAATTCAAGAGTCAACACCGAAGTAAAGAACAGAGTTGTCCGACTCCGCAGGCAGGTTAAGATTTTCTGATGACTCCTCTTCTGGCACTGCCACTCTTCAGCTACTGAGGGAACCTAAGGCAACTCAGCTCTTACTGCAGGTCTGTACCTCAATGAGGAAAGACAAATCTGCGGCTCTGCCCCTATTCTAATTGAACAGCCATGCTGGACCGAGTCCTTAAATAACAGAACTCCGCTTAGCGTCTCTGAAAGACACCTTAAGGAGATGGGTATCAGAAAGGAATAACGCTAATAGAAGAGTTAGAAGCATGATGAGAATTTCCAAGTTACATTTCTTTGGTTCTTAAATTAGTCTACAGATTGTCCATTTTGAAATTAGATTTATTACTTGATCAAATTGAAAACAATATACAGGCTACCGGAGTCTTGATTTCATCCCATGTTTGCATTTAAAAAAAAAACCAACTAAAAAAACAACCAACCAAGCACAACTGCAGACATGTCAGACAACAGGAGCCCAGTTACAGAACGGAAGAACAGAGATGCATGGGAAGCCTTGGGATATGTGGCTATGCTCCTCAAACAGTGCAGAATCAATTAAACCCAGCTCAAAACACTGGGAAGAGAGAGAAGGAGCAAGGAGAATGGGTCCTCCTACTGATGGTACTGTCTCTGGTCATCTGAGGGGTCTGCTGACGGAGAAAAGAGGTCTCCCAGAAGTCCAGCCACAGGCAGAAACACTACTGCAATCAGGTGCTTTACAAAGAATACAGTCACCTTTTTAAACCTTATAAAAAGTAATCACTGGCTTTTCAAGAAAGAGCAAGCCACTCTTTGTTTATACTAAAAATGCTTTTTATGGGTCCAACCTGAACCAGTCACAGATGGAAGCTTCATGAAAAGTGAAGTGAGGAGGTCTACTGCCTGCAGCATCACATGCAATGGACCTAAGGAAGGGCCGTCAGAGCTTCCGTGGGACGTATTGAGCGTGACCTCCTACTGAACACATTCAAGAAGCACCTGCCTAGCTGATACGCTGACAGCACCTTGCCCTCACTTGAATGATGCTGTAACAGGGATAGATACACTTCCAAAAACGAACCACTGGAGAAAATTATTATCAGTCAAGATCAAAGTACAGGTAATGGAAAGCATACGTACCTTCGAGACAGCTACTCTGTAAAGAGCTTTTATTGCTGCCTGTTATACTTCAAGCCATAAACCCAACTGTTGTTGCGGAGTCAAATAATACAGACCCTTCAAACATTAGGGTCACCAATTTTAAATTCACGGAGAGAGGCTAAAATGCAGTTCAATCACTGCTCACATTTGAGCCATGCAGCACAAGAACTGACAGGAAAAATGAGAAGGCCCTTTGTCTCAAGAGTGCAGGATGGCAGCGGTTTCTAACACAGTGCAGCCAACTGACAAGAGCAAATCTGGAGCCCACAGAAAACGCAGCAAAACAAAGCTCCTCTTCCAGAACAAATACTAGGCACAGGAACTCTTGAAAGTCACTCAATACTGTTAGAGGTGGATGGCAAAACCTGCTGCAGTTCAACCACAACACTGCAAATCCAGCTGTTTCGTACTAGGTCATCATTTTAGGACAAAGCTGTTGAGCCAGGTGTTTTGCAGCACAAGTAGCTCATGGCACCTAAAAGGTGCATTTAAGTTATATGGCAGTTTGGGAAGAAAGCCTGAACACAGGCACATTTTCTCTGGAGGGAGAATGGCTGATGATACGAAGAGTATGTTTTTCAGTAATGTACAGGTAGTGTTCAGCCTACAAGAAGCTAATACCAAATCTTAAGATATGCTGACAGAACAGAGGCAAGTTTGTTAAAGCCCTGCCAGCTCTTCTCCACGTTTGCTCACAGCACATCACTTCAGAGAGGCTTACGTACAAGCTAAGATGTCAAAGGGCGATTTCATTCCCGTTGTCTAGACCAGAGTAACTGCAGCTACTAGACTTCAGTCTTAACAGATCCTGGTTTTATCAAGCCAACTATCCCATTCATCAGAAAGCGATTTAATACCCTGAGACCAGGAGTTTTGGACATGCGGAAAAGAAGAAAAACCAACCCAAACAAATAAAACCCCAAAAACACCACCACAAAGGAAAGGTGCTATTTCCTTTCAGAATCTGTTTAAGCCTTCCAATACTGATGAATGAGGTATCCCACCACAAAAATGGGACAGAATACCTCTATGCAAAATAGTGCTTGTGCAAATCTTTGCTATTTGTATCAGCCTCCTGACCCTATAAAAATGTAGGGCTAAGTAAGATTTTCTTTATAAAAGTTGTAGTTTATTTCTTTTCTGATCAAGAGTTGTATCACTACACAATACTACATTTTATTGCTAATCACAAATCGATGCACTGGGGTTTCAGAAGAGTTTGGTTTATAGCGTTCCTATGTAACAAAAGGAAAAAAAGAGTTACAAATCCAGACTTTGCAGACACATTGCCACGTCCCTATAGAAGCAGGGATGCATTAGGTCTGTTTCACTAGAAAATTCTCCTCTTTAACTGTTCTGGAGAACATGGAACCATAATTTTCTCCAGCAGGAAAAGTCACCCCATCATTCCATGCAAAAAGAAGGTGGCCAATCTGCTCCACATCCTAAAATCCCTTTCCTACACAATGGGAAAGGAACACGTATTTACACGACTCCTACCGTGGTGTGTTAATGCTTAAATTACTAGGAGCAAGTTGGCACAACTTCCAGGTACACCTACTCCCCAGCTTAACTCAGCTTCCTGTTGCTGGGGTAGCAAGTTCTCTCCAACACAACTGAGATGTGCCCTACTAATACTCTATAAAAACGCCGTGGTAACCTTTGCCAGACAGCAACACAGCAGCACTCCTGCTTCAGAAAAGCATTGCACAGCCTTTCAGTAATACATACAGTTCAGTGCGTGCTTTATCTGTCTCAGACCCAGTATTAGCTGTTGTAAGCAAAAGCCTGCAGCCACATGACAGACAGTGCTGCCACAGAAGACGTACTGCACTGCTTCAGATACCCCTGCCCTGTCATCCCCAATACTGTGATGCTTGGATTTCACAAAGGGCGAGTCAGGACTCTGTCCCTTTGGTTATTATTGCCTTAAAGAGGGCTGGGAGAAACTCAAAAGAAACTCTTTGGGAGCTGAATGTCTATTGGGAGCTGAATCCTTATTCTTGTTAGAAGGCTGCACTGCGCAGGGCTCCAGACAGATTTCATTGATTCTGAGGCACATACTATTACAGTTAAACTTAGGATTAGAGTAAGTCAAAACAAGTATCAGAACAAAAATATTAAATGGAGGGTTAAATAATTTGTCCTATAAGATTCAATTTCACATTTCACCTGTTCACACAAGCACCTCCTGTCTGCTTGGATCTGAACAGCCTACAGCTCAACCCTCAGAAAGGAGGTGCTGAGAAACAAGAGACTGAAGGTGCTTGTGACAAAAAGATGGATATAAATATAAAAAGAGGTTCAAATTCAAGCACCAGTAATACTGCCTGCTCAAGCCCAGGTGTGGTCACCAGGGAGACTCCCAAAATCAGGAACATTATTCAATTAAAACAATAGACCATACTATTCTGCAGCTGCCAAGATTCCTGGCTACAACTCCCGTAAGAGTTTGCCACCTGTCAAAATTGTCTCTAATAGAAAAAGCAAGACTGCTTGACGAGATGAAAGCGACACCCCCAAGCCGGCTTATTCAGTAAGGACCCAACTTCAGACCAGGAGTCTGCAGGCATCAGCTTCAGCAAATGGGATCTGTTTCACTATCCAACAGCTGCCTTTCAGCTACTGCAGAGCATCAGCTTTTTAGCTTCCTTAAAAAAAACAAAACAAAAAAACCCTGGATTCGAAGCATCCAAATATGGCCTGTTGTACTGGAGCGTTTAAATCCTTGGGGGAGGCGGGCATCTTCTTCCTCTGCCACAGGCAGCGCTTACTCCATGATGGCCCGGTACAATGCAGGTTCAATGTAATCTTCACGGTAGCGTGAATTGATCACTCTTTGTCTCTTCCTCTCTTGCCTGACCTCCTTCTCTGCGAAGATCTCTGTGAAGCGCATATCTGAAGCTATTGACTAAGAAATAAACCAGAATTAGTTACCAGAACACAGATCAAATCCCTGCCTCCACATCCTCCTACTGCATGTAAGAAAGAACCAAGCCAGGACACTTGGGAACATTCAGCCTTCTTCAAAAACTGACCAAACACAAGAAGAAAAATATTTAAGAAACTAGATTTAAAAGCATGGGGATAACTTTAAGTGAACTATAATAAGAGATCTAAAGAATCACAGGTTTCAAATTCAACTGTGTAGCTAATTTAAGTTCACAATCACTTTCTTAAAGGAATAAACACCCTCATCTGTTCCAACTTTCAAGCAGTCTTGTACATTTTGTGCCTTATGCTATGTTTAAACACCTGGTCACAGGATTCAGCTATGATACATTCTTTCTTAAACCTCCAACATCCTGTGTGCTCGCCAACACCATAGCATGCTGTCCATAGTTACGGTTTTTACAGCGGAAGGCATAAAGCAACACAACAGGGAGCCAAAAGGGCTGTGGGATATCTATCCCTGGAGATAATCAAAACTTGACTGGAAAGAGCCCTGAGCAACCCTGCCTGCCTTCAAAGTTACCCCCGCTTTGAACAGGTGACTGGAGCACAGACCTGCAGAGCTCCTTTCCCACCTGAATTATCTTACAATTTTAAAAAATGGCTAGTTCTCTTGAACTACTAAGGGCTTTTCAGAACAAAGGGTAAGTGTAGGAACTTGCCCATTCTTTGCGATGGGAACAGACAACGAAACCTACGAATGCAGGCAGGAAAGGGAATTAACAGGCTGTCTCAAAGAGCGACTCTATGCTATAAACTCCCATCTCTGCAGAAGAACTAAAGTCTTTCCAGAGAGAGACAGAACTTTGCTTTTGTAGCCTCATCAACTACCCAGCTTCACAATGATGGAGGAGAGCATCAGATTGTAATCTGCTGCTGCCATGCACTCAGCCTGCAGGACAAATTAAGTTAAATGAGTTTCTTTAGTAGAAGTTTGCACCCTGGTTACCTACCAGCCTTGACTTCACTCTCTTAGGAAGCTCCTCTTCAAGAGTATACACATCATCCCTTTTCACCATCAGCTGTGACCCATCCTCAAATTCCACCTAGAAGAAAACCCGAAGTTGTTCTGCCAAAAGTCTCAGAAGTTAGAACCCTCCCACAGCTACCCAGAACTTGCCTTCTCCTCCCCACAAAGGCCTCTCATGAAATAATCTTCTACCACTTGCATTTTGTAAGATACACATGCAGGTATGCACACTGCGACAGACTTTTGACCAAAACCTCACCAATCCCAGGACATTAAAAGTAGCCCAGCAAGTTTTGGGATATTCTTGTAACACCTGACAAGACAGTCTGGCTGGTCACTTTAAAGTGGCCTGGACATTCATCCTTTTGGAAGTGTGCAAGACATGACGCACTCTGACTAAACAGAGAAAAGCAAAACCAAACTTATTTTAAGTAGTTCAAGCTACAGGAACAGAGTCTGCTGAAGAACTGCAGACCAACAATTCTTCAGAAGCTGACACTTTCAAGAAGGAGGCCAGATATAAGTAGAGCTGCAAGCAATCACTTTGCTCTTAACGCCACCAACTGTTACCAGCATCTGGCATTGCTAACAACACCGAGTAACTTCCGCTGAAGTGTTTAAGCATGAGTCCTCTATAGCTCTGCTGGCTTTAAGAACAGCTCTGTTAACATAATCAGTTTGTTATGAATGATGAATTTTCAGATGACAGTTCTGTACCTGGTACATCTGGATGGCATGTGATGCAACAAACTTGGCTCCATAAACCTGTCCATCCGTCCATCTCACCTGCACAACTTCATCTTCAGCAGGGGGACCTAACTGAAGACAGTCTCGACTCTACAGCATGAAGGAGGAAGGTGGGAGAGACATGGAGAAGGGTATAAGCAGCCTCCTTTTGTGAGGACTCAGCAAACCACCAGGGAGTCCATCCCAGTCACACTGCACACCACCCCAACAATTACTCCATTTTAGGGATGGAGAGCTAGGCTGAGCGACATCCATCTATGTCATCTGTATTTAAATCCCAACAGTGGGCCCAACTTCAAAGTATTTCATGCAGGAATGGTATGCAAGTATCACCAAGTTTTCCTTCAGACCCACCACTGCTAAGGAGCCAAAGATCTGCTGCACTCCCTGCTACACCTGTTCCTATGTGCCCTCAGTTAAGTGAGTCTCATGTAACACCCCTAAGGCATCTTGCAGCACATCTCAGCCACAATGTGACCTAGGGTTGGAACAATTACCGAATCCCCTGGTGTGTCTGCTCTGCAGCAGCAAGAATTGACTCGCACCATGTGCCCTCTACCGGAGCCAGATCCCCATTGCAGAACGTACCACAATGTCTTCTGGATACAGGTTATCACTGAAGGAACCATCATCGAAGTTGACCTCGTAGAAAGTCTCCTTTGCAAGGCTGACCACTTCACATTGATAGAAGCGGCCATTCTTGTGCTTGCTGATGACTATCTGTCCAGGTGACAGATCCTGGAGTGCAGCCTTAGCTCGCTGAGAAGGGGGGAAAAAAATAATAAAAAAAAAATCACTTTTTACACAATGACTCAATAAAGAACGTGCTGAGGACCGTAGCTGCAGTGCTGGCAGATAAAGCAGCAAAATGAGGTAAGTAACTCTACTCAAGACACCATCAGGTGCATTTTTAGAAAACTTCTGTCTTTGGTATTTCAAATGCTTAAAGCCTGATCTATTAGATGCAGCTGTTGTTAATTTGCTCAGTAAATTAAACTCTCATTCTTCAGAGCAATGCAAGGCCTTTACAGTAAATATTGTCTAATAGACTGTTGTGGTTTTGATGGCTAAAAGCGTTACATGGGAACTTTATAAATTAATCAATCAATCACTTAAACATTAAATTCTATGACCACTCATGCAGCCTGCTGGAGTCCCAGCCCTAACTCCTGAATATTAAATTTCACAGCATAAAATCCACTGTTATTCCTCATTACAACAGCCACAGGAAGGATGCAATACTCTCAGTCCTTCTGGGCTGCAAACCAAAATACAACGAAGGACCTGACTAAGGTCACTCAGCAGCAAGGTTGAGATCAGAGTCCAAGACCAACACCATTAGATTATACTGAATGTTCTGAAAGAGACAAACTTTTCAGTCACTCCAAGAATCTGCAGTTCAAATCCTGGGAGTCCCACACCTACTCACCTCTGCCTGAGACGGAATCTTATGCCTGAAGCAGGTAATGAAGACAACAAATGGCCAGTCATCAGGCTGCATCATGACTCCTGCTGCTTGGGCACAGCTGACATGAAAGGATGTGGGACATCGACCATGTGAGCACTGCACACAGCAACCTGCAATTCTCTTTCTTCTTTTCTTGCAGAAGATGCATTTCTGTGGGCAGGAAACTAACGGTTACTGGTTGGCACTAGCTTTTACCCCATACAAAGGGCCAGCACTAAGTGCCTGATACTGTGCTATTTACTCTCTGTGAGAGCACTGCTACTTTCTGATTAAAAAGAAGCAAAAGGCTACCAGTTCTAGTTTATGACAAGGCAATAATCCATAAATTTAGCGTAATCCCACAGATGAAGAATGTACATTAGATATCTACCAGCTCAACAGGCACAAAGCATACCACTCAAGGATGCCAACAACAGGAGACCTTGGATTAAATCAGTCTACAATGCTCAGAAGTCAACCAGGCCTTTCAGCACTTGGTTATTAAATTACACAAAGAGCAACAAGGTCAGAATAATGGGCAAAGACCAGAGATCAAAAAAAAAACCACCCCAACAAACCAAACCACGGAAGTAACAGTTAAAATTCTATCACTACTATGAGTGACCTAACTACACTTTGGTCAGACCTAATGGGGTGTTGTGAGAAAATAATGTTATCTGTAATGCATTAGCATTTGGAAAGCAGTTAAAATCATTTTCGCCTCAAGACTGAGCTGTTAGAAGAGTTTAGTACAGTTGTTTTCTTGCTGAAGACATCCACTCATTATACAAATATCTTGCATATCCTGAAGCATCTCAGTGCTCAACAGCAGTCAATAAAGCAAGTCAAATACTAGGGATTAGGAAAACAAATCAAATATCACCATTACACCACTGCATAAATGTAATTTGCTACATACGTAAAACTGTGCCCCCCTTGCTTGCTCGTCATCTGAATAAGCATGTATTAGAAAGGTTCAAAAAATGGCAACAGGGACAAATGCCATTTCCCATACAAAGAAAAGAGCAGATTAAATTTTTCAGTCCAGAGAGAAGATAACTTGGGGTTAGAGGGATAAGCAAAGTCTTCCAGATTCTGAACAGACTGGCGAGACACTTTAAAACCTCACCAGTGAAGCACAGGTGATTCTTACCAGTCTGAAACGCTGCAGGGGGATTTTGCCAACATCTACAGGACTCCGCTCTGCAATGTTCACAAATTTTGCCTCCAGTACAGCGACAGCACACATCACATGAACCCACCTGTCAGGACAGAAGAGGGGAAAAATAAATTAATATGCATTAGGCTGACAGAGGAGACTTTGGAGTTTAAGTAAATACAGTTCTGTTGAAGATTGCCATATAAATCACAATAAACAGTCTCTGAGAACTAGCAGTATAATCTTCCTATTGCTAGTAACACCGCACATATGGGGTAAAACCAAGACTTCTTCATACTTCCAATCTACTCCTAACAGGCTTAACAGGAGAGCAATTTAACATGCCTTGTGCTGGCTGCAATACCTGCATTAAAAGCCTGCCTAATAGGTTTATTCCTTCACAAACCTGTCCGATAGCAACTGCTCAGTCCCTACTGAATTACTTTTGAGACTGTGAACAAGAGGTTGAGGCTCCACATGGCATCCACAAAATTTTGAGGCCAAGTTTCAGTTACTCCATGGTGCTACAAGTCTGTCCCAGTGCTATTTTGCATGAAATAACTTCAGATGATCCACCACACTAAAGGACACAAGACAGGCAGTTGTACGCAGTATACTCGCTGCAGAGGTATCCTGAATTTCAATATGTTGTGCTACTTAAAGCTACGGTTGTTCTTTGTCTCCATCACCACCGCACATTACATGGAGAAATCAAAATCCTCTGTGAGAAGGTACTGAGAGATGTTATCTCATCAGGAATCTTATTTTTATGTGGTACGTTATACCTCTGCACATTACACCTCTGCAGTATAAAATGCAAAGCAATTAACTGCTGTCAACAGAATGAGTGAGGTATTACCTGAAGGGATGATGACTGCTGCATGTGAAGACAATGAACACACTTTACCATAGCCCCCCAGTAACACAAGGTGTGAAAGGTGGTGTTGGTCACTCCCTTACACCAAACACGGACATTGGCTTTACTAGCTTATGCTCAGCTACTTAAGGGAGAAGTTCAGTTCCTAAGACCAAAAAAGCTAGAACACTCACTTGTCATCATTGGCTCTCTGCAGTGCTCCTCCACGTAATGAACACAAACAGCAGTCCTGGCACAAGGAAGAAAGCATTAGCTGAAGGAGTGAAGTCCAGAGCAGTACACTTACTTCAGGACTTCCTCCTCAAAATACACGTCCAGAGCAAGAAAATGGTTTCACTGTCAGAAGAGAGCTAACCGCCTTGTACAGATCAGCCCTTCAGCTCTCAAAAGCTGCTGCCCTTAAGGCAACAAATGCAGACTCCAAGTCTGCTGAAGGCAAGCAGACCTTCCACTGAAGACTTGTTCAACTCACTCTTTACAGGTTCCTTTTACAACCACAATACCCTCTATCAATTGAGAATGTGTAAAAGGATCTGGAACAAACACAAACAAACACAATTTGAAAGGTTGACCCATTCTGCTGATCTAGAGCCTATTTAGCTTTCTGAGGGAATCCCATCCTTCTTGCCATCTTCACATGTGCACATCTCCCTAGTTACTAACAGAAGTTACTCTCTGATTTAGAAACAGTAGCTACAAAACAGACAATGAAGCTATTCCCACATTCATGCAGAACATCTCTATGACTCAAGTGAGCTCAGCAGCTTTGCACTAGGTAAAAGAATTATATCACTATGGCTTAAAAAGTGCCAAAATACAACAGACTGGCTCCTAAGCATTCTCTAAATTGCCTTCTTTTCACAGGAGGGAATAATAAAAAAAAACCCCAAACCACTACGGAAATTAACTTTGCAGCAAGATTCCCAGATATACCAGATTCTAGCTGTGAGAATCTTAAGAGAAACTTTACCTCTTCTAAGGCATTTTCTGTACACCTGGAGCACATCCAGTCTTCAGTGGCCTTGTCAGGGGATACACCATAACAACCTAGAACAGACACATCTCACTTAAACTCAGACCCATTCCCCTAGGGCCCAGAAGCAAAGCAGAAATTGAAATCCACGAGCCTAAGGATGATGCTGTATATTTCAAGTTATCCATGCAGCAAAGTCTGTATTTCAATGGCCAGCACTCATGTATACACCATTCAGACAAGGGCTGAACTTGGTCTATTTGTACATTAATCAGACTGATCGAGACTTGCTATGATGTACAGACTTACTACAGAGAACGCCAGAGTTTACGGTTAAGTCTAGACTCACTCACTTGCATGAACACAGACATGGCAGTTCTTGCAGGTGATGAGGATGCTGGTTCCATCTTCCTCTAAGTAGGGGGTTGAAAGATTGAGGTCAGTGCTGCAGCCAGTTGTAGTAAAGCACATTTCAGGAATCAGGGGTTTGGTTCGGATCTTCCCATCCACAGCAGCTGGAGTTACTCCAGAGTTTTGACTGTTGCCTCCACACTCTGCCTGTAAGGGATAGACAGGGAATTTAAGTTTTACAAGTAAAACTGTCTCACATCATCTTTCCTCACCCATTATTCCATACATAAATCCAGTTTAAAGAAATTAAGGTGCTGAAAGATTAAGAGTTAGTACGTTAGGTGAAAATACAGTTAGTTTATAAAATCCTCAGCTACTGCGGCTAAGGTCTGAACTGCATCCTTCTAATGAGCAACAATGTACACAAACTGCATCTCTTCTGACAAGAGATAGGCAATATCTCTGCTGCACCCTCCCACCCCTTCATACAGAGGATCATAATACTGCTGTCTAACATTGTACTTTTATCTCACCTCAGTATGGGAGGATTATCATCACGCAAACAGATAGTACTGCAATCCTCCCCCCCCCCAGTGTAATGCTGAACAAGTCTAATGGGCTTTGAAACAAATCTGTTCCTTGGAAATAAACAAACTAAAAATGCAGTTTCCCAGATAAAGCTCAGGAGAATTTCAGGCCAATCTTTTGTAATTTATCCATCTAAATCAACATCACACCAAACAGCAATTACATGTAAAGTTTACAGAGATATGCTTCCATTCAAGTTACTCTTCTTAACAGCTAAATAGAAATCAATCTTTCTCTCTGAAGAAACGTTTCAAATCATCTTTTGTACCTCATAGGCCACCACAAAAGTAGCTTGTCTAATCTTTTAAAAATATTATTAGCAGAAATTGCAGTGGCAGAATGAAGCTGCACTGTCCCTCCTACAGTGCCTCAAAACGTAGGGGAAAAAAAAAAGTCCAGGTAAGGATCACAGTTGGAAGGGAACTGACGTGTTTTCAACAAGTCTTGTTTATTCAGATTCTGTAAAACTTACTGATTTACACCGAACATCGCACGTCAAGCAAAAGACTAAATGATTGAGGCAAATCTATCTCAAAGTTGAAAAAAGGATTTTTTTTCCAAGCAGCTAGATATTTTTCATATTCACAAAGGAAAAGTGAGCATTTGTCTGGCATTTTGTGCCAATTTTTTATTTGAATGGGTAACTGAAGTGAGTTCCCAGACTTGCTACAGACTTTCTGAAGTTGGAACAAAGACCCTAACCACAGCTCAAATTTTGGAGGAGTTTCTGCCTCACTGCCTAGTGTAGACTGACATTTGAAAACCTGAAGCTAGAATTTTCTGCTTAATAGCATTTAGAACTAAAGAAGAAGCTAAAGAACTTAAGCCATCCTCAAACTGTTTATATACTGTCAGCACCAGAGAAATCCATGTACTATGCAGCTCTATATAGAATTTCCAATCCTAATAAGAACCTGCTCTCAGAAATAGCAAGGTTGAACAGAAACTATCATCTATGGTTTTCATAGAAATTAGGAATTATATACAACATAAACCCTCACAAAAATTTGAGGTCTTTATTTCCAAAACAGTTGTGAACATGTTTCTAGTGCCATCATAATCATACAGTGATCTCAAATGAATCAAAAATGCTTAGCATATGGGAAGGGACAAACTATCTCCAGGTCGAACGTGCAATCAGACAACTATTCAAGCTACCTTGGAATTACTTAGCTTAGGTACAACAAAAAAATTCAGCGTGGGACTCCTGCCTAAGCATTTAGTCACCATGTCAGAGGGGTTCTGCAGCCCATCCCAAGCTATGCATTGCTACAGCCACACTTGGTTAAAGCATGTTTTCGCATGCCGTAGCTTTTGTCAATATGGATATACTCCAAGAAAACAGCTTTCCATCTATGCCATCCACAAACACAACCCTAAAGTTTTTTGAAAAAGCGTAGAAGTGAAGGTATCAGTCTGGAAAAGAGAAATGGGATTTTTATGGTCAGCTCCAGCAACATTCAAGCTCCTTTCCATGGTTTGAGCAAAAGCTACAGAACACAAAAGCTTCTGCTGAACAGCTGAGCGAGCCCCTGGGAACCCACAGGCAGGCCGTCACCAGTGTGGTGAGTTTCACTGGAACAACTGGTGCTCTCCTGGAACAATTCCTTGGGAAGACTGCAACACCAATACAGCTTTTGTTAACTGGCAACATACAAAACAACATTTTTAAAACTATGCATCCCAGCCGCAACCTATTCAGTTATCTCTATGACAACATTAACAGACTTGGTCTACGTACCTGGTACGTCTGGAAGAGCATACAAACAGCACAGTAAGGAGACTGCTGAGCCATGGTCCGATTGTATTCCTTTTCAGCCTCAAAATTTGGTGGCCGATTCTGCCACAGCTGGCTAAGTGGCTTGGCCCATGCTTCTGTCTCCTCAGCCTCTTCTTCAGGAGTTAGTTGCTCTGATGCCTCTGCAGTAAGAGAGCATTAACTTAGTGATTATGTGTCCTTTATAGATACTCTTCTTGCAAATGAAACTAAGGCAAGAAGTTATGAACAGAGATGAAAGAAAGACTGCCAGAAATAAAGTTGACAGAAGAGTGATGGGAACCAGTAACTTGGTGTCCTTTTTAAGGGGCTTCTATTAATCAAGCATCCGTGCAGACACAAGATATTGGGTGAGAACAGCACCAGCTCCAAACTACATCAAGACTAAGGCTGTCAGCCAAAGAATCTGGTGTTTTGTTTTGTTTTTTTTTTTTTTTTTAAAAATCATGAATATTTACATCAATTACTGGAATGCTCCAAGGCAGAAACAATTATGCAACAGTCTCTGGTACTGGTTTAATTTTCCTTCCAGAGCTGTGACTTTCCAAAGAATGGAACAGGAAAGAAGAGATTCAAGAGAGAAGTTTAATGATGCAAACTTTTGTGACAGACACACAAAAAAAAAAGTGCACCTTGTCTAGAATGCAGAGGTGTCACTTGCTGACTCCTGTTTATCACCACTTACTTAATGCAATACCCCACACTGCCCACAGAAGCTGAGACCCTCTCTACAGTTTCCCAAAGAGCACAAGGCTTACTTACCATCATCACTAGTGCAGTCTTTAACCAAGAGTGGGTGATGGCGTGGGAGCTTGCTCAACGGCTGGCGACGACCCTTGGACTTCTTACTCTCCTTCATTGATCTTATGTACTCCTTTGCTACCTGAACAAGGAGAAGCAATTCAGCAGTCAATTAGCACATGTCCTTTTGACTTTATTTTTAAAGGAACTTATTTTTAAAAAAGCCTCCACAAAATGCACGTGCTTCCATGATTTTATTTCTAATCTAACAAACTAACTTCAGCTCTAAACTAGCTGAGTTTTTGAAAGAAAAGCTTGCAGCACTTTTGCTAGGGAAAATGAGATAGAGCTGTACTAGCTCTGTCGAGCTGTTAGAATAGAGACTTTTGACAGGTCCCAGCATAGCTTTTCATGCAAGTCTGTTTATATAAGAATTGTGTAAAAGATGGAAATGAAGAAAGGCAAGTTGAATGGTTCAACGTAGAAGAGCCATGATAAGACGTCTCATGCATTCTGCAGAAATCCTGTTTCTAATTCAACTTAAAAATTCAAAATTTAAGAAATAATAACAAATAATAATAATAAATATTATTAATAATAATAATTTTAAAAGTTTACAGATTTCATTGGCATCTCAAACTAACTGGCTTATTTTAAACTAAGGAAACTTCCCCCCCCCTCTGCTTATCACGTGCATTGACATCTTTCCAGACAGACTGGAAGAAGAAGACTACAACAGTAGTTATTTCCTCCTCCTTACGTAAAAACCAAGTGACACACTGACAAAACTACTGCTAACCTGACAAGCAAGGCAATAAAGGCAACAATTTTAACAGCCCAGGAAGTCTCTCAGTAGATAAGAACCCTCTTTTTTTTTAATCTGTTTTTCCTCTAAGAGCACAAGTAAATCTTAGATTAAATGCATCTCACATCTTTTTAAATCTCTTCTTTTCATAACAGAAGCCAGAAGAGAGTGTAACAATCATTATCTCTGATCTCCTACACAGAGTTGGATATAAGACGTCTAAGAAACAGAAAGGCTTTTATTCAAATGGAAATTAGCACTCCCAGTTACCATCTGATGGAAAAATTGTTTCAAAATACACCATATGGGGAAAATGATCTACACCCATTCAAAATTTCACCTTTTCCATGTATGGAGTATGTAGCAGAGACATTAGTATCAGCAACATAATTTCTTTAGTTTAAATATCCATGAGAACTCTTTCTCAGTTTCAGCTTAATTATCAACAGATTTGCACATTTGCTGTTCTGTTTCTGTAATTCCTGAACTTCAAAGACATTATCATTATCAGCCTCTCACTCTCTAAACACAGATTTAAAGAGGGAAACAAAATAATTTGAAAAGACACCACCAGGTAAGATTTTAACTATTACAATCTTATCTTGGGTTATCTAATAAAACATTCATTGAGAATTCTTAAACACTAGGATTTATATTCTCCCAAAAATTTTTGTTCTACTATTACTTTATTTTTAAAGGGGAAAACACACAGATGTACACATATATGCAATTTTATATTAAAAAAAAATCCCTCAAATGTATTAATGTGCTCATAATAAAGACAGGATTGAACTAGATTCATTTTAGGTACAAGTAGGTGTCTATTACTATAAAAGGACCTGAATCAGCCTGTAACACTATCACGTCAAAACCAACAAACTACCTTCTCCCTTAAAGCAGTTAAATTATTTAGAAAAGCTCTCAAAACAAGGGATCTCCTTGTTCTCTAGAAGAGTGAAGAGTATAAGACTTTCATCTTAATTCTCGTTTGTTTAGCAAAACCCATAATTAGTAAAAAACACATTAACAACTAAGCAACCTGCTATGCAAACAGCAATGGAACAAAAACGTAATCTGCACAGATAGGAAGTTTTGTCATAGGAAATCCATGACCATGTAATACAGCCCTTAAGCTTTCGGTACTCTTGCCATTCATACCTCTGCTAGTTCTTGTTCATTCACACTGGCGGTGGCACTGGCTTTCTTTCCTGAAGTCTGTTCGTTGTCAGATCCGCTGGCATCCCCTTTAGCATAGCTATGGACTGTAAGCACCCCAGCTGGCCCAGGAAGAGTTCGTTTTGCTAACAAATCAGTCGACTCAGAGTCTGAAGAACCAGAATATGCAGGCGAGCTGGGCTGCGCGCTGGAAGTTGTGCCCTGCTTCGAAGTCATCAAAACCGAAGTGGAATTTGAAGCATGTGAAATGGAGAGATCCAATGCAGCTGCTTCTTGCTCTTCCTCCTCGAGCTTCACTGTTTTCAGTTCTTCAAATTTGGCTGAGTCCACACGATCTAGAAGAAAGGATATACTGACTTTTTCTAAAGCCTGGGCAGCAGAGAGAATACTTGTGCAGCCATCTGCACAAAGCCAAACAGGAAAGCAAACTACTACACACAAAAAAGTGACATTAAGTCATGTAAAGAGCAGATCATCAATTCAAATACCTATAAACTCATGGGTGGCTGAGAGAGAGAGGAAGAAAGAGAATAAAAGCATCTGCTCATTGCCTCTTCCAGTACAAGAACTAGGGTATATCAAACAAAACTAGCATACTGTGAGTTCAAAATAAACAGAGATGATCCTTTATACAGCGTAGCTGAACAGCCCAACTCCTGGCCACATGATGCTGTGGGTAAGAGGTTACAAGCATTCATGGAAGACTTAATATAAGAAAAATAAAAACCCAGAAACCAATAAAACATTATTAAATACAAGCTGCAAAGGGCTGGAAAACAGAATACTAGAGAGAGGCATCACCAATGTTTGCCTTGTTCTTATATTGTTGCATAGGCCCCTTGCTCCTCCCATAAGAGCAAGGGTAACTGACCCATGACAAGCCACATTAATTTTCCTCCAGCCTAGATCACAAAAATTATAAATAAAACATCTATACAGCATACCAAACCCACACTACTAGGAAGCGTGCGTATGTTTTTACTAAGCAATTTCTATAAACAGGTCACACTACACAACAGGGACACAGAGGACCTTAGACTACTGAGACATCCAATACATTTCTGTATGCAGGCAGACAAAATAAAAAGAGCAAAAATCAGAAGCTAGAAACACCCACTTCTTAAGCAAGTCTCATGCAAAACTACCTGTTCCTTTGAATTCAGCTGAAAGGCAACATCCGCGTGACCTACCTGGTCAGTCAATCATTGAAGTAGCTACAGGATGAACTGCTAGATCTCTGCTCTGCCCCAATGTTTTTTTTATATAATTCTCTCTAGGGAGTTATCCAAAGATAGGCCACAAAAGCTAACAATTTCAGCTGTGGTTATTTCATTTAGTCAAACTAACGGCACAAATGTCAGACAAAACTAACTAAAGGGCACAACGTAAAATTGTTCTAGGTGCGCTCTCTGGCCTTGAAAAAAAGTCAAATGGTAATATCTCAAGTCTCATCACAGGAAATTTCTGAAGTGCTTACCACGGCTCTGACAAACTAGTGTCTGCTTTTTTGGCCACAATAACATGCTACTGACTAGCATCATATGAGAGACTGCTCCAGAATCAGCTCTAGCAGCTTCTCTCCCTGAAGAATAATATCCTGTGCCCTCGTACCAGGATAAAGCTTGACACACAGTTACCTGGAAGCTTGAGCCCTTGTTCACCTTGCTGTGGAAGTTCACTTGCAGGTCCCTCACGAGGCTCTGCCATGTCCGCTTCATACTGTGTGGAGCTCAGCTCCTCCTTGGGGAAGGCCTCGCTCTCACTCACCTCCTGAGGCACTTCCAGGCAGACCCTGTGCCTTTTTGTTCCTATGCGATGCTTGGGAATGCTGCAGAAGACAAATCCGTATGTCAGGTTACCAAACACGTAAGCTTGTTAAATTTGTGCCTGGAGGCACAAAATACAGCCTGGTTTGGATCAGTGTTTTATGAGAGAGCATCTGGCAAGCCAAATAGTTTCCAAATTATTCTGAAGTGTTTTCATTGCCTTTAGGGAAGCAGAGTCCCTTTAGGGATGGCTCCTCAGCATCTGTTAATCATGTATTAGGCAGCTATGTTCTAGTGGGACATTCTTTACCTTAAACAACAACAAAAAAACCCAAACCAAACAAAACCCAACAGGAAAACCACCACAAAATCCAGCTTTAGGAATAGCAGCTGACACTGGCTGAAAGATTTAACTGCAAAATATAAGATGATTAACCTGTCCATCTTCAGCAGCTAGGAACTGCACACTGATGCTGCAGCTTGCAGCACTGATAGTACTGGAATTTGCTTGCAAGTACTGTCCCATGATCCCAACGCAACCCCTTTTTCTTCTGGCCTCCAAGTATATGGTGCACATTTCCAATCCAGGCTTTGGACGCCTGCCCGAAGTTGAAGAACTACCTTCCAAGCTGGTGCATTTCCTAACTACCACAGACCATCATCAATGTGGATTCAAATAGTAAAAATAATTAAGAGTAAACCCTATTTCCAAGAAAACAGACTACTGCCAACGCTGACTGCTGTTGTTCTATCAGAATGGCAAACATTCAGTGGCAGCTGGGTCCAATTCCTAATAATCCAACAGAAAAGCAGAGGACTATATAAAGCACTACCTTTTTGTCTCATCCCCATCCACCTCCTCTTTACATGTGTCTCCTGTTTCCATTTCCTCAGCACACTGTTTCCCATTCTTGACTTTTTGCATGAGATCCCCTTTAAGGAACTCTGCTGCCTCTGGGGTTGGCAGAGCATGGTCAATGACAGTCACGTCCTTCCCGGCTTTCCAAAGCTTGTAACGATCTGGTTGGTACTTCCTCACAAACACATCCATGGAGATCTTCACCATATCCTTCCGACATGAGCACTAAAGTCACAAAAATATTCAAGTAAGGCCACATACTCAACAATTCTACTCTGCATTCCTATATAACTTGGCTTTCAGGAGCTTAACTGAAAAAAACATTCCCACAGTTACACATAATTGAGCCTCAGAACGCTCAAGGCTCTTTCCCAGGAAGTCAAAAGGGCGTATATTAAGTTACTAAAAACTGGGCAGAAAAGCCAGAAAACGACGAAACAGAAAACCAGATGTTATCACAATAACTAAGAAAGAAAGCTCACCAGCCTAATTACAGAGCTGCTGGTAGAAGCTGACTCTTTTAAAATGAGGTCACAGACAGTCAGCAAAACCAGAGACTAAAACGAAGAAGTTGGAGCCATACAGACTCTGGGCCTACCCAGAGCAGTAGAGATTCCCCTCATCTGGACATAGTTACAACTAGTGCTTCAAAGCATTCACTTCAATGTTAACTTTTCAAACATAATCCATGTTCATAAGGCATCTCTACAGGGATATAACACTATCCAGTCTAAAGGTTCAGCCAAGATACTTATTTTGATTAGTAACTTAAGTTACCAAAGTCATAATTCTAGGCTAAATGGTCAATAAATAATGGTTAAAATATCAGACAAAATACCGTTGAGTCCTGACCACCAAGCACACCCTTACATCTTTGGAAAGACCACCAGTCCTCTGCTTTTCTTTGAAGCCTCACTTGATCTACACAAAGCTAAAAACCATGTTATGTGCTATCCATAGTTGAAACAAGGATGCGAAACAGGAGGCTGACTGGAGATTGTTACCATATCAGAAAGCAAGGATTGCATCTTAAATGGACAAAGCACTGAATTCACTCCCTCAGAACAAACATTGGGGTCTTAATGAGCAGCAGAGCATTAGACACTGCGTTCAGGTTATTTGTACGCAATAGGATGGCAACAGACCACTTACCAGTACAGACTGCTTTCCGTACTCAATCCACCGAAGAGTAGCGAAGTTGGTAGATTCGGCACAGTTAAAGCCATGATTAAAGCCAGCATGATAGCTATAAGGAAAGGTTATCATGAACTCTCCAGCCTCCTGTGTCACCTAGAAGACAAATGAGACATCATATTGTTATTCACAACCTAAGAGTCTACTTGGCGGGTCTGAATAAAAGGAGGTCCTGGAGCCCTCATGCAGTGTATCTGAAACCCCCAACCGCAGATGGTTGTTGGAGTGACTTGCTGCCAACGGATAGACTTGATATTTATCTTCACTGTTCTCCTACTTACGTTAAGTATCTTTCACTGGAAAGCAATGCTCAATTTTTACTAAAACACAACTGGTCAAAATAGCACAGAAGTGGTTATACATATGAAATACTCTGTGACACACTATCTGAAGGCCATAAAGATACTCATCTGTATCAGCTACAGGTTTGGCTGAAGAGTATCTAAGGCCAAGTAAAACTTCCATCCACACATGACTTGGAAATTCACTATTGTTTTCTTTTGCTGTTCATATTCAAGTACAGCTCTCAGTCAGCCTTCCACTGCTGCCCTTCAACATTTCCCCACTGTCTAACAAAGATTCATGACAACAAAATCCTTCAGCTGCCCGTGCGGATGTGACAGTACTTCTGAATAAGGACTCAAAAACTAGATCATCAGTGTGTGCATGGCAGGTTATCACCTGAGAAAGTAAGGACATCTATAAAAAGTTATTAATATAATGAAAAAGAATTAATAGGAAACAAGTCATATTTTCTATTGAGGAAGCGGATCACAACAAAATTAGGAGGGAACGAGTCTGGAAAAAAAAAAAAAGAACAATCTCTCTTCACCGAATACACAGCTAAGCAGTGAAGTTAATCTAACATAGAATGTTGTGTATAGTTTTAAGTTAAAAAAAAATACATATATCACAGAATACAGAGCCTTTGTTTTAATAGTCCCTGACAGATTTTTCTGTCTCAAACTCTTTCAGACCCCAACTGCGGGATAAATGGAGGGACAGTGAGAAAGGATTGCCTTATACCCTCCCTGTTCCTGTTTTCCTCTCTACGCATCTGCTATTGGTTGTTGTTGGAGATGAGACAGGGCTGTGTGAATCTCCTGACTGAGCTGGATTACTTTTACACACCTTATCAAATGGGATGCCGTATTTCTTTAGAATTGATGGAGAGATGAGGGTCATCTTGTGACGAAGAAACGCTTCACAGCTTTGGGCACTTCCTGGAAAGAAACCTGTTTAAAATAAAGGCAAGGAAAGATGTTACCGTTCCGTTGTGAATTAAATTGATTTTTCAGTAATTTTCCCTAGGCCTACAAGTATGGACCACCTTATTTGAAGTGTGCTAGCTTGCGTTATGAAGAAAAAGGAAAACTCCTGGAGATTTATCTTTAACATATCTCAGTTTGAAAGAGCTTAAAAAAGACCATACTTAGAAGGATCTTCCCTCAGCTATAATCTTCCAGTTCTAATAATCAGTAGTTAAGGATTTTCTCATTAAAAGTTAGACAGACCACAACTGCATTATTCCTAATACAACATTTCTCTTGTGTGTATACTATAAACAAACAAACAGAAGTAACATAATCTATATTCTAAACGGCAAACTATCAGTTCAGTCGTGCCAGCCTGAACGTTACAGGCATGTTGTACTTTAAAAGTTACTGCAGACCATCCCACCTTCTGCAAAAAGCAGGACATGAATTGCCCAATTACCTTTTGCGAGTCTCTCCAGTCGCTTCCCATGCTCTGGAGGGATAGAGTACCTACAGTCACAACAAGAAGTCTGTTAAGTTCAAGTGACATGACAAAATCTCAAAGTTTGACTGAAAATCATCAACAGGCATCAGGGTATGAATTATTAAAAAAAAAAAAATCCTCCATCTCTGCACTGTCTCTTTCAATGTTTGATGATATAAAGCTAAAAATCTTTATCAAGGACTTTTAACTGCTCTATCCCAAGAAAAAAAAAAATAAATCAAGAGCCAAAAGCTGACCATCTTCTCCGTTGACTTTTGCTTAAGTAGTCAAGGAACTAAAAAGTCTGATGCATTTCATTCACAGATCTGTGCAGGAAAACATGAAATGCAAGAAAGCGAAGAGCACTTCCCAACCTGACTCAGGTCACAGCCGTGTAATTGCTAGTATACTCAGTGCAAGGAAGAACACAGAGCAAGAGAGAAAATGGAATCAGTCTCATCTTAGTCTGAGCAGCTGAAAGAGGTAAGTCAGACGCAATGTCACATCCTTAACATGTGCACAACTTCCTGTATGATCTTTAGCGCTACGGTTCTCTCTCTCTGGACACACCTTTTTATGGGCACCACAGAACTCCTGGTTAGTTTGCTTTCACTCTGGAATAGTGTGCTATATTCTTGATAGTGTTCCTTGTTAAATAAATCAGACTAAGGTATCGGCAAAGTTAACTTCTGCCACGTACTACTGTAAAAGAAGAAATGGCCAAATGGTTTATCTGACTGAACTATTCTGTTTCACGTTCCCATGCTGTTGCCACTGCATGGGGTTGTTCACTGGTCACATGGTGCTAGCTATAATTTTTGACTTCAAAGTTGTATTAAAAGGCAGCCAAAAATACTAGTTTCCAACAAAACTGCCATGGAAACAATTGTTGAAGTTGCTTGAGAAATTTATTTGTGAACAGAAGGGAATGATTCACTCTTAAAATGCAACCCATGCTACAGAAAAATTCGGGAGCCTCCCTTAAAAACAATCACGAAAGCTCAGGCACTGGATGAACCACTCGGCAAGATCCACTAGCCTGCTTCTGGATCTACGATAAAGAGCTACATTTCAAAGTCTGTTAAAAATTGCCTCTTCCCCTAGTGCCTGCGTGTCAACAGACATATTACCTCTGTACGGTCATTTTAGAGTCTCAGAAAATCATAAGCAAGTGTTCCAAGCTCTAGCCCTATCGCAGCAGAGACCGTCCACCTTACATTGTCATTCTGAAGAACTCTTTACATCAGGACAGCAAATGGACTTTCTAGAAGGTGATGAAACAAATGCTACTGAGGACACGCACTGCTTTGCAGCTCCTTACAGGTTTCTAGTGTTCTTGTCATCAGATGCTACTCCAGTGAAAGATCAGAGGGATGGTAATTCCTGTAGTCAACTCTCTTAACTTCACAACTTTGACTCCAATATTTTATGGTATTGTTTTTCTGCATCTAGAAGCTTCCCTAGAAAAATCTTACCATGACTTGGGTTCCCCAAAATGCAAGTAATTAATACTGTAGAGATCCATGTCCTCGGTATGCCAAGCAAAGGAAGTTTTCCACATGCCAAAATATAGGTAAGGAGTATTCACTCCTTCAATGGTTATGCCGCTTTCATTCTCCACAATATCCAGGATCGTGTTCAATCTGCCAATATTCCACGCGTCCACATGCTGCAAAACACAAGCCTCGTGTTAAACAAGCATTATGAAGAACCACACAACCAAGACGACAGTTGCAAAAGCTACCAGACACTTGTGAAACAGTACATCAAGACAAATCATCTACCGGCACAGCTCAAACCATTACCTAATCCACCCAAAACAAAGTTTTGGATGGTGTTAGCTTACATACAGCCACCTTTATGAGAAAAGAAAAAAGTTATCAGCCAACATCATGATTAGGAAGGAGAAATAATCATGAAGCTACAGACTTTACAGAGCAGAGAACAATACCGTGAGCCTGAGCTCATGTGCTATTTAAAAGATGGCAGACTGAACCCTCTTGAACAAAACCACTTTTCTTTCCAAACATCTTTTAAAAGATGAGTAAATCATCATAATTGAGGAGACTAGCAAGCAGAATGCATACCCTTTTCTAATGTTCATCATCCTAACACATAACGACTACAGAGCTGTCGCACAAAAATACAGGCACTAGTGTATACCAAAGCAGTACACGTTCACTGATCAACACCTGAACTCTCATACGCCTTTCAGGACAAAGCACCGTAAAAGCAACACTTACGCAACAGCAGTTTTTGCGTTCTTGAACTAATCTGTAGTACACTGAGGCGCTAACAGAGGTCCCTTAGAACGTTACCTCTATTAGCCTTCCTTAACTATCTGGCTTAAATGGAGAGTATGTTATAAACATATCGTTTATTGTGTTCCTGCCTACTCCAGAAGCTGGAACTCTGCTAAGTCTATCATTAACTCTTTCTGGAAGAGTCAAATGCTACATTAGTATTTATGGAATGCAATATACAAGGACAACCATTACTTGAAAACCAAAACAGTTTTCTTACCTTGTCGTAAAGCGTGCCATTAACATCAGCACCATAGATAGGGGCATTGAATGTAAGGTTCTTCCAGTATTTTCGTTCAAGGTCTTCAAAGTCCGTGTAGCGGGGTGTGCAGTACCTGGACAAAGAAAGATACTAAAGACGTCACAGTCTGATACTTGACGAGTCTAAACCAACGCTCTCTGCCACTGAAAGAATTGAAAGCTACGATAAAGACACCAAACGCATGTTATCAGCCAGACCCCTGTCTCCCAGAACAGCAGTCAGAAAGCCACAGCTCTGTTCCTGTGAGACGTGGGAATAAAGGATCAGGAAGAAAATTACTTTCTCCATTTCTCAGTTTACTTTCATTTTTGCTTTGTGCACTTCTCTTGGGTCAGAACAACTTCACTTTCCAGTTGTAGTCAAAACCAGAAATAATACAAAGAACAACTTGAAGAAAACCCAACCAAACTAAACCCAAAGTCTTCTGCCGCTGTAGAAGTAACAAACACCTCCAGACTCACCTGCTAGCAAACTGGTGAAGCACACTCAGTTTACCAAAAAAATATCTGCTCTTGATGTCCATTCCCTGCTAACTATATACTGGCCTCTTTGTGCAGCACTGAGGGTTCAAAACTCTAACATCTATTTAACACGCGTGTGCACATGCATATTCCAGACAATTACATATGCAGCATTACAGAGTAATTTTCGGTAAATTATTGTATTTGAGAAAGAGAATCCTACAATATCTGACATGTACTGCTCTCGCAAGACAAAATAAGCTTTAGTGGGCAGAGTGCAGCCGGCAATTCCAATGCCATTTCCAAACAGCAATTTCTAAGGCTGTTTTGCTTACTCCTTTTAAAGTGATCTTTTCTCTGTCCTTTTTCATGTCAAGAATATTCTTTTCTCTACTACTCAGTAAAAATTTTAATGGTCTAGCTAGTGGGGACAAACAGACAGGAGTCCACAGCAGAAACAAAAAGTTCTGCCGGCGCTATGTATCCTCTTGCCAAATGACACAAGTGACAAACGTCCCTGTCCCCACAGCCAGTTTTACAGGCACACCTCATCACCCAGGGCGTCACGTTCACGCCTCTGACCGGGACCGGTCTGTGGCGAGGACCTGGCCCCGGGGAAGTCGGGCAACAGGAACTCCCGCGGTAACTATTTGCACGGAGACGCGGGTGCGGACGTACTTGTCGCTGTTGGCGATTCTCCTGAACTCGCGGACTGTCATGGCCTTCTTCTGGATGTTGTACTGCGTGAAGAGGCCGGACTGCCCCGTCACCACCTGCTGGATGGGCGCTGGGATGACGAGCTCGTCGAT